CTCAAGGGTAGAAATGAACAGCAGTCTCTGGATTTATCCACAGAGCTTCTGACTGTAAAGAGCTGTGTGTAAACCAAAGGGACCTGAGCGTGTAGACCTCTACTGTGGGAATCTTCTCAGTGTATACATCTCCAGAGATATAGGGCAGTTCTCTAGCTACATTAGAGCAGAGGTTTGAGTAATAGACATTTTCAGTGAAGTCAGCAGAGCCATGGGCAGTGGAAGCTGAGAAGCAGCCTGGGCTGACAGTGATATTGGCATGAACAGCAGAAAGTTGGGCACCAACTCTGGATTGGGGTAGAACACGTTTGGAGACCTGAACCATGAAGTGTGTGTGCTGTTCTGGGCAGAGTGGCAGCTGTTGCAGTAAAACCAGCATGAAAGCTTGGTCCTGTGGCTCAGTGGCTTATGAAACAATCACAGTGCGAGGTGGAGAAGTATAAGCAGCAGCTTGGACTGGAAAGACCCCATGTGTACAAGGGGATGGCAGGTAACAAGGGGACAGCAGTTTTGAAGAGAAGCAGACAAGGCTGACCTTCACCCTGGTTTCAGATATAAATGTTAACCTGACACCTGTCTTCCTGGATACTCTCAATCAATCCCACTCTTTTTGACTTCATTTACAGAGATTTAAATGAACTGTAGTCTTCACTTTAGTGGCAGATTGTCCTTGATTCATACTGTTCCCCACTACGAACCCATGATTTTTACTCCCAAGTTTTTGGTACTTGGGGAATTTTGATAACTCATGAATTCCTTCATGATCTCTTTCTCCTTTCTCATCTCTGCTACTCTTTGTCAGCTACTTTGAGGTCTCGTCATGTAGAACTGCTTGCAGTTGCCTGAGAATAGCATGTGTCTTCTCATTTCAAGAGTAATAGCATACACAAAATACATAAATTATTTAGTCAAAATAAAAAGGAAGGAGGGAAGGAAGAAAAAACAAGGGAGGAACAAACAAAAGAAGGGAAGGAGGAAGGAAGGAAGGAAGGAAGGAAGGAAGGAAGGAAGGAAGGAAGGAAGGAAGGAAGGAAGGAAGGAAGGAAGGAGGAAGAAATACTGAAATAGTACTAAATTAGTTACATAAAATAAATTATCAAATATACAATGAGAATCAAATTTGTGAACATAGTCCCTTGTGATGGACAGTTTGGCGACGAATCGTTATCAGTTTCTTGTTGATAGTGCCCGTGGATTATTGATAGTATGGGAAATATGATAGACTAGGATGACCTCTTACATCACACGTTGTCTCCTTTTTGTAGATATTGACCGAAATATCATTGGGGAAATATGAATATAAATATCCATGTATTATATCTGATTATTTCTTCAGGATAAATTCCTAAGTGTAGGATTTTGTGTCAATGGATAAAATAGTTATTTTTATTTTCAGATATGTTTGGTGATAATTATTTTTGTTGTAATTGTTGAGGTCTTTGTATCCAGATTCTGATTGTTTTTGATAATTAATAGGGAATTGGCATATATTTTCTTAGGATCAATACTTATATATCATGAGAAACATTTCTGTAACAGAAATTTGAGTTCTTCACCCATGTAAATATATAAGCCCAGCATTTTTCAGAATTAGTTCCCACCAAATATTTTGTTCTATTGATCTATTCTTATTTTCATTCAATTTTGGCAATTAATATTTTGACATAAATTTTTAGCATATTTTCACAGAGGAATATCTAATGTTACTAGTCTCTATTTGTCCTTTTTTTCCCTTTTGCATTTTTATTTTTGTATGTTTGTGTTCTTTCTCTGTTTCTTAATTACACATTTCAGAAGAATATCTATCTCATGATCTTTTAGATAAATGACTCTGGCTATATTAATTGTAGTACTTGTCTTTTGATGTGAAATAATAGCACTAAATTCTCATTTAAAATATAAGTATTGGGTACTGTACATGTCCTGAAAAAAATTTTTTAGGAAAAATATCACACAAGCTTACTATTTACATCTATTGTAATGTCATAGGTAATGTATACTTAGGTTATCTAGTTTATTTTAAGCTTGAATATGAATAAAGAAAATGTAGAAAACAATAAAATAAAAAGTATGGTATTTCTTAAATTGCCAAAAATTAACTACAGAAATTATTGTGCTCTGATATTTATATAGTTCAATTCTTGTACACTATTATCTTTGTCCTTATCAATTTTTGAAAATATTCTGATTCACTGTTTCAAGTGTTCACTTTTATATCTTCTATTTTCTCCCACTTTCTGCTATATGATCTGAAATAGGAATTGTACATTACTTCTGATGTTTTGGGTGAGAGTGAGGTGACTATTCTGACTTCATTATTTGTACTGAATGTATATTATTTTTATCTTCTTTTTTCCAAAAATATTTCTTCCCTGATTTTGCTCCATTTTAATTTTTGGTTGCCACTAAGTCACATCAAATTTTATGTACTATTTCTCCATATTATCTTCTACATTGTATTTCATAAAAATCCTATCTTTAACTCACTGGGCTGTAAGTTTGATTTATTTGAAGTTTTCATGTTCCTTTAGGTCATTGTCCCTCATCTTTGTCATCTTTCATCTTTACTGTTATAAAGTGAAATTTTTATTTGCAGTGTTATAATAGAATTTCTCAAAGGGTCCATTGTTCTAGGGTTAGCTTTTATTTTTTATTTGGTTTTGTTTTCTCTGGTTTAAATTCCTAAGTGATAACAGCCCTAGTTAAGCCTTCTATTTCCCTGGCTGCAGATTGAGGTGACAGGATGTAATTTCCCTTCCAGATGGTACATGCAGGAGCTCCTCTTAGATTTCAAGCCATGAATGAGAGTGGAGACTTGGAGGCTTGATAGCCTGTAACTCAACAAGATTTTCCTCATTCTGGGTTTCTTCTACCTCTGGCTTATCCCTTCCTGGGCGAAGTGTCACAAATGGTGTTTTGGAGATTCCTTCTTTGTATTCAGTGAGAGTGCCAACACGTTGGCCCAATTTTTCACGACCAGTAAACCCTGCTTTGTCTGGGAACATCGTTCTCGGAGTTCCTGCCGCCTCATCTTCATCCAGCAGCCTGTTGATCTGATCTCATTAATGACTGAATATTAGTTCTTTTAATTAATGAATTCAATAAGTAGCCCCAAACCTCCTCTTTAGAAACCATACTCTAGAATAATATGTGTCCAAATACTACACATGTCCTTAGCTCATCTTGGGCAATTTAATTTATTCCCACTCTAAAGGAATATTGAGATATTTAACCACAATCCACCAAAAGTTTAGGATATTTTAGTGCCCTATTCTTCTTTCCCTTCCCACCCCCAATAGGAAAGGATGGAGGTGATACCTTTCATAGCAAAGTGGTCTTTGGCATGATTTCTGTATCTCCTTAGAAAGAGAGAAATAAGGTAAACATATCTTGACAGAGTTTCTCAATGGAGTGGCAGAGTACAATACATTTATAGTTCAACCATCCTTAATTTTAATAAGAGCTCTACAGCTAGTGATATAACCAAAACATCTCTGAGGATGTTTCTTCATTTATAGCATAGTGGTATTAATATATATCATACAGGGTTTATAAAGATTGAACTAGAAAAAAATAAAATACTGTGAAAGTAATTAGCCTCATGGCAGCTACATAATAGGTGCTGAAAAAAATAGATGGTTATTCCTGTAACAAATGAAGGAATGACTTAATTCCACAAGGTGAAATGCAAAGCTGTGCCTGAAATAGTAAGAAAGGTAAATTACTGAAATGTTTTACTGATGCCACTTCAGTTAATCTGTGTCAACACAGATCTTGATTACTTCTGTTAAGAAATTTTCCTGCGTTCTTGTAAGAAATTTTAAATAGTATAAGGTACAAGTCACTGGATTATTAAATCAACTTGTAACAACTTAGTCTCCTTGATCTTAAAATCTCTAGTGGAGAGACACTTCGTCATTTAATTTGGTGCCCCATTCACTTTTTAACGGAACGTTTACGAAGTGTGATTTAAAGTACAGGAGTGTGTCTCCCAAAATAATGAGAATGAGGGCAAAAGAGGCGGACCGCCAGTATGTGTTCTTAGCACCTTATCAATGGCAGCTAATGAGCTGAAGTAAACTGGAATCCAGACTCGTTCAGGGCCGTCTCAGCCCGTGGATAGTGGTGCTCTGAGCTGGGAATGCCTGGGGCACTCCCTCCCCTGGCCCTACTACTGTGGCAGCCTCCACCCACATCCCCCCACCAGAACCAGTGCTGTGACTACAGCTGCCCTGTGGGCACGTGCATAGTTACCCAGGGCTTTGGGACGGGGAACTTCACGGGTTGCGGAGGCTCCTTACCTTGTGTGATGAGTAGCCGTGTCACACAGCTGGAAATATGTTTATTTGAGATGAAAGTCTTTGGAATGGATGCTTCAGCAATCAAAAACTTAATGCCAGGCACTTACATTACAATCAGAAAAGCTTATTGTCAGGCATTTATTCTATAAGATTGCTTTATTTTAAAAGTAAAAATGACAACAAACAAAACTCGGTAATTAGCCCAACTCTGGCCATACCATTATCAGCCACTGTAACACTCTACACTGCCTCGGATTCACATTGCTACCCATTAACTCCTGCTAAGACATCGATCACATTGTAGAATGGCCCTAGTACGATAAGCATAAAGCATCTCATTGGTCATTTTTTTTTCACATTTCAATGATGGTCTCTCATTTACTCCAATAGTTTTTTAAGACCTATATTATTAAATGTCTGTTTAGACCAAATTTGATTTGACTCTTAAATTCTCAAAAGGTAATATTAAGACCATTAACTGACAATGTAGTTTTCTCTAATTTCCTCTAAACAGATAAATCTTTGCTCCTTTACTAAGAACACAGGTATGCATGGACAAATTCATGATTGACAATATAATGTAACAGTATATGTTGTATGTACTTTAAACAAAGCCTTATTATTTCTGTCAGGCTGTTAATAGCTTTTGTGAAAACACTTAAATTGCAACCTGTCTTATTTACACTGATGTATTTACAGTTGTATGCCAGGATTTACTGGAAAGAACTGTGAGAAAGTAACTGACCACTGTAGACAGCTCAGCATCAACTATCTGAATGAAGGATGGTGTTTCAATATAATTGGAAGATTTAGAGTAAGTAATTTAATACATGGCAGAGTAATTTAGCACTTCAAAATGCAACAGTTTTTAGCAGTCTGTATTTCAAATGCTTCTGTTAATCTAAGAGGAATATATCCTTACATGTATATTTAAATGTGATTTATATAAAGTTTGGTAATAGAGATTTTTAATTTACAAAAATTATCCTGAAAGGGCATTAGTAAGTGTTCTAGGCAGTGTTTTTATAATAAAGTAAGTGTTTAGCAAATTCGGGTCTGGCACTGTATTTCTTCATATATAAATATATAAAACCAGCTATTAATGCCTTAGGCTCTTAAACTAGATGGGAAATAAAATTAGCTGGCAGTAGTTAAAGTATAAAAATACGCTTTTTTTGTGAATAGTTTTCAAAATGACTTTACAAATACAGAATGTGTTTACTACACGTGGTAAGGCACAGCCTATAAATCAACAATTCCACTTTGGAGAAATTATTAGCTCCGTACTGAAGAGATTTATTTAAGAACTTTCACTCCACATCTGAAATACACTAAGCCTATTGTCAGGAGAATGGATACATTGATTATGGCATTACAAAGAGTGGATATATCATGGAATTATAAAGAGTGGTTAAAATAAGTGAACAATAGCTGTATAATAATATTTATGAATATCAAAACATACTGTTGAATTTTAAAATCTTGTGAAGAATGATATATATATATATGGTCTAACAATGATTAATTTCTTAAAACACAACTAATCCATTTTTTCTATGATTGCATAAATATATAGAAATTATAAACACATATGAAGAAATATACACACTAACTTTAACAGAAGGTCTGCCTTTAGGGATATAGGGGAAGGAAATCACGAAGCACGCAGAGGGGACTTCCAGTGTATTCGCACAGCTTTATTTCTTAAAAATGTTTTTGACAAACAAGGATGGTAGTCTTCTGATGTTCATTTTATTGTTTTCTCTACTTTCCTATAATACACAATATTTTAATAAAATACTTCTAAAATAATGAAAAGCCAACTTATGGAATAGACTATGGACAAATTTATATGTGTACTTTTGCAGCATATTTGCTATTCTGCTAATAAAAGAAAATATAGGATGCGAGCATAACACTTACCTAGCTGCTACAATACATTTGGCATGATAGCATTTTGTTTCTGATGATTACCTCATTTGATCTTTACAAATACCAGTACCTTTCATGGAAAAAAAAATATCTACTGAGCTTCTGAATATTTTCACACATCCACACATACTGTTAGGAATGGAGGAAGCTAGATTTAAACCTACTCTGTGTGACTCCAGGACTCATACTTTCAAGTACTACACCTATCTATTTACAATAAAGAGTATGCTGCCATTTTATTTTCCTTTAAAATTTGTTTACCTTTTACTTAATAGGAAAACTGAAATGTCTGATTGAAATGACTCTCCTACTTTGGCTTGAATTTCTTTGACTTTACACTACTTATATGTTGATTTTGGGTTTCTGTTCTGTCTCAGATAACCTCTGAGTATTTATCTCTGACTTTTATTTTTAAATTTCTCTTCGTCCACGACCACTACCACTTTTCCCTGGGAGATCTCACCTGTTCTAGTATGTCAGCAATTATCTGTATGTTATTGACTCTAAATCCAATTTATATTTATTATTTAAAGAATTTGACTGGACTTTTTATCACCTTGCAGAATCTGTGTATTTTGTGATTCTGCTTTAGTGACTTCCGTTTGACAAAATATTAGCAAGAAAGGAATGCTATTGTTCTCATTGGGTCAAAATTTGGATGATGATGAAGAATATGTACATTATTGAATGTTTCTAACATTGTAATACTTTTTCAAAAATATACCCTTCCCTATTAATTAATAATCCTAGTTTGGGCTGCACTGAGTTCTGAAACAGTTTATATTCAAAGTAATTTAATTTAAAATTTAATGTATATTGACAAACATATTGTTCAGATTATATAATTGTTTTGAATGGTGGGAATTAATGTTATTTTACATGATACTTAAGAGACGAATCGTTATCAGTTTCTTGTTGATAGTGCCCGTGGATTATTGATAGTATGGGAAATATGATAGACTAGGATGACCTCTTACATCACACGTTGTCTCCTTTTTGTAGATATTGACCGAAATATCATTGGGGAAATATGAATATAAATATCCATGTATTATATCTGATTATTTCTTCAGGATAAATTCCTAAGTGTAGGATTTTGTGTCAATGGATAAAATAGTTATTTTTATTTTCAGATATGTTTGGTGATAATTATTTTTGTTGTAATTGTTGAGGTCTTTGTATCCAGATTCTGATTGTTTTTGATAATTAATAGGGAATTGGCATATATTTTCTTAGGATCAATACTTATATATCATGAGAAACATTTCTGTAACAGAAATTTGAGTTCTTCACCCATGTAAATATATAAGCCCAGCATTTTTCAGAATTAGTTCCCACCAAATATTTTGTTCTATTGATCTATTCTTATTTTCATTCAATTTTGGCAATTAATATTTTGACATAAATTTTTAGCATATTTTCACAGAGGAATATCTAATGTTACTAGTCTCTATTTGTCCTTTTTTTCCCTTTTGCATTTTTATTTTTGTATGTTTGTGTTCTTTCTCTGTTTCTTAATTACACATTTCAGAAGAATATCTATCTCATGATCTTTTAGATAAATGACTCTGGCTATATTAATTGTAGTACTTGTCTTTTGATGTGAAATAATAGCACTAAATTCTCATTTAAAATATAAGTATTGGGTACTGTACATGTCCTGAAAAAAATTTTTTAGGAAAAATATCACACAAGCTTACTATTTACATCTATTGTAATGTCATAGGTAATGTATACTTAGGTTATCTAGTTTATTTTAAGCTTGAATATGAATAAAGAAAATGTAGAAAACAATAAAATAAAAAGTATGGTATTTCTTAAATTGCCAAAAATTAACTACAGAAATTATTGTGCTCTGATATTTATATAGTTCAATTCTTGTACACTATTATCTTTGTCCTTATCAATTTTTGAAAATATTCTGATTCACTGTTTCAAGTGTTCACTTTTATATCTTCTATTTTCTCCCACTTTCTGCTATATGATCTGAAATAGGAATTGTACATTACTTCTGATGTTTTGGGTGAGAGTGAGGTGACTATTCTGACTTCATTATTTGTACTGAATGTATATTATTTTTATCTTCTTTTTTCCAAAAATATTTCTTCCCTGATTTTGCTCCATTTTAATTTTTGGTTGCCACTAAGTCACATCAAATTTTATGTACTATTTCTCCATATTATCTTCTACATTGTATTTCATAAAAATCCTATCTTTAACTCACTGGGCTGTAAGTTTGATTTATTTGAAGTTTTCATGTTCCTTTAGGTCATTGTCCCTCATCTTTGTCATCTTTCATCTTTACTGTTATAAAGTGAAATTTTTATTTGCAGTGTTATAATAGAATTTCTCAAAGGGTCCATTGTTCTAGGGTTAGCTTTTATTTTTTATTTGGTTTTGTTTTCTCTGGTTTAAATTCCTAAGTGATAACAGCCCTAGTTAAGCCTTCTATTTCCCTGGCTGCAGATTGAGGTGACAGGATGTAATTTCCCTTCCAGATGGTACATGCAGGAGCTCCTCTTAGATTTCAAGCCATGAATGAGAGTGGAGACTTGGAGGCTTGATAGCCTGTAACTCAACAAGATTTTCCTCATTCTGGGTTTCTTCTACCTCTGGCTTATCCCTTCCTGGGCGAAGTGTCACAAATGGTGTTTTGGAGATTCCTTCTTTGTATTCAGTGAGAGTGCCAACACGTTGGCCCAATTTTTCACGACCAGTAAACCCTGCTTTGTCTGGGAACATCGTTCTCGGAGTTCCTGCCGCCTCATCTTCATCCAGCAGCCTGTTGATCTGATCTCATTAATGACTGAATATTAGTTCTTTTAATTAATGAATTCAATAAGTAGCCCCAAACCTCCTCTTTAGAAACCATACTCTAGAATAATATGTGTCCAAATACTACACATGTCCTTAGCTCATCTTGGGCAATTTAATTTATTCCCACTCTAAAGGAATATTGAGATATTTAACCACAATCCACCAAAAGTTTAGGATATTTTAGTGCCCTATTCTTCTTTCCCTTCCCACCCCCAATAGGAAAGGATGGAGGTGATACCTTTCATAGCAAAGTGGTCTTTGGCATGATTTCTGTATCTCCTTAGAAAGAGAGAAATAAGGTAAACATATCTTGACAGAGTTTCTCAATGGAGTGGCAGAGTACAATACATTTATAGTTCAACCATCCTTAATTTTAATAAGAGCTCTACAGCTAGTGATATAACCAAAACATCTCTGAGGATGTTTCTTCATTTATAGCATAGTGGTATTAATATATATCATACAGGGTTTATAAAGATTGAACTAGAAAAAAATAAAATACTGTGAAAGTAATTAGCCTCATGGCAGCTACATAATAGGTGCTGAAAAAAATAGATGGTTATTCCTGTAACAAATGAAGGAATGACTTAATTCCACAAGGTGAAATGCAAAGCTGTGCCTGAAATAGTAAGAAAGGTAAATTACTGAAATGTTTTACTGATGCCACTTCAGTTAATCTGTGTCAACACAGATCTTGATTACTTCTGTTAAGAAATTTTCCTGCGTTCTTGTAAGAAATTTTAAATAGTATAAGGTACAAGTCACTGGATTATTAAATCAACTTGTAACAACTTAGTCTCCTTGATCTTAAAATCTCTAGTGGAGAGACACTTCGTCATTTAATTTGGTGCCCCATTCACTTTTTAACGGAACGTTTACGAAGTGTGATTTAAAGTACAGGAGTGTGTCTCCCAAAATAATGAGAATGAGGGCAAAAGAGGCGGACCGCCAGTATGTGTTCTTAGCACCTTATCAATGGCAGCTAATGAGCTGAAGTAAACTGGAATCCAGACTCGTTCAGGGCCGTCTCAGCCCGTGGATAGTGGTGCTCTGAGCTGGGAATGCCTGG